GGAAGGAAGGTTGGGCAATCCTACTTCCGTAGTGATACTGCCTCGGAAACCCAAGGAGGGGTCGCTATGAGTCGGGGCCGACTCGACGGCACACAACAACAACAACAACAAATAGTTTAATAAAAACACAGTATAATTTAACCTGAAGTACAAATGTCAAGTCACCAAAGCTTTTAAAAAATGAATATATTCAAGTAACAACAGAAATTATAAACATTCTTTTGACAGTAGAGGTCAGAGTGAACTTACCATTAAAGCAATATTTTTCACTGGGTAGTTTTGTTGTGTTCAGTACTCCAGATTGTGAAATGAAAGTGGTTAAGAAGCAAAGAATGAGAACAAATTTTAAGAAGAAAAGAATGATAAAAAATTTTAAGAAGAAAGGACCAAGACTGATAATTGAATATACAGAAATATAGATTTAAAAATACTGATTGCTTAGAGAGAGTTGTGGCACTAGTGTAAAGTTTCTTTAGACATTAACGCCTTTTGGACTGGTCACAGTGCATCTCCAATGAATTGCTGAAAAGTAAGTAAACATGTAGGTCAGAGAAAGGGATTTCTGTAAAAACCAAGTATTGATGGAGTTTGATCTAATAAAGACCTGGGTAAAAATCGACCAATATTTATTGCCTTGGGATTGCAGTACAGTGGGGATGATCATATTTACATTTTGAAAATTGAGATTGTATACAGGAAAACCTAACACAATGCCTTTTTCATACTTAATAGTCAACAAATGGGGCAATCTACTTCCATAGTGATACTGCCTCAGAAACCCAAGGAGGGGTCGCTATGAGTCGGGGCCGACTCGACGGCACATAACAACAACAACAACAAATGGGGCAATCTACTTCCATAGTGATACTGCCTCAGAAACCCAAGGAGGGGTCGCTATGAGTCGGATCTGACTTGACAGCCCATGACAACAACAACAACAACTCAACAAATGTCAAATAATCTTCATTATTATGTTTTGAACATTGTAAAATAAAATTATTCTAGTATTACAACCTAGGAAAATACTCTGGTAGCATAGTGCCTAAGGCACTTGACTGCTAACCAGAAAGCTGGTGGTTCATAACCACCAGCCACTCCTTACAAAACGGGCAATCTACTTCTATAGTGATACTGCCTCGAAAACCCAAGGAGGGGTCGCTATGAGTTGGGCCTGACTCTACAGCACGTAACAACAACAACAGCAACACATTGGTTTAAGCCAGTGCCTCTCAGACTGGATCAGGTGTATCTTGGGAGATATCTCAGTGAAAAGCCATTATCTCCCAGTGATACATGTGACATCAGTTTTTCAGATAGCATGTGATAAATTTAGAATTGTGCCATAGTTTTGAGTTATGATGTTCTCCTACTTATGTGGGTATATGTTCTTTCTCAGCCTTTATCAGGGCATTTTGTCAAGACGGTTCTATTTCAGTGGAAAAGTTTGAGCACTGGTTTAAGTTAAAGAGTGAGAGTAAGCATTCCATATTGTGTAATTTCTAATAGTTATCTGGAATATTCTTCTGATAATCATCTGCCCTCCATATTTAATATTCTTTAAATATTTACAATGAATTGTTGATCAGCCATTTCTTTAATTCTGCAATATGACTTTTCTGAAGTTATTAAAAATGTTAAATAAGCTTGATTTCTCTTCAATTTATATAGCAAAGATGGGGGAAATACTTTAACTGAACTTCTAACTGGAACTATGTATGATTTTCAGTTTCTTTACTGACCTCTTTGGTAGATGAAAATAGCTCTGTTGTGACACACGCACACACACACACGCACACTCATACTCACTTATCATTCCTATGCAAACCTTGTTTCTGGTATTTCAAAACATCTTGAATATTTTGTAGAGTTTCTTTCATTTATAACTTCAATGTGTATGTACTGATATAAATTGATCAGATGTAATTGGAGGTTATAGTACTTGCCTTTCATGTTATAGAAAAATAATCTGAAGATTCATGAGAGTCTTAATAGTTTTCTGAATTTCTTAAAGGAAGTGATGTAAATTGTTGTTGTTGTTGTTGTTATGTGCCGTCGAGTCAGCCCCGACTCATAGCGACCCCTCCTTGGGTGTCCGAGGCAGTATCACTATGGAAGTAGGATTGCCCAACCTTCCTTCCGAGGAGTGGCTGGTGGGTTTGAACCGCCAGCCCTCTGGTTAGCAGTCAAGTGCTTTAGCCACTATGCTATGAGAGCTCTATTAGTCAATCCAATATTTCTCAAATATCCACTACTTGCAGGACACCTTTAAGTACAGTGATATGATATCCAAATTTAAAGAAAAAAGTGAGAATATATGTGTCTTAGTTTCCTAGGGCTGCAATAACAAAATACCATAAGGATGGGTCACTCTAAAGAACAGAAATTTATTTTCTTAAAGAAATCATGGTGTCAACAAGGCTATGCTCTTTCTTTGTCAGCTATAAGTGAAGATCTTTCCTTTTATTTTTCATCTTCTATAGTTATGGGCATTTCTTGGAGTTCCTTGGTATATGGACAGATCTTCACATGTTGTCTTTCCCTGTGTGTGATGCTGTTTTTGTGTCTCCTCATTTATGAAACATCTCTTAGAAGCGATTAGGATTAAGACCCATCCTACTCCAGTATGACTTCATTAATTTAACTGATAACATCTGCAAAAACCCCACTTCTTCAAATAAGAGCATATTCACCAGTATAAAGATTAGAATTTCAAAATATTTTTAGGAGGGACAAATTCCATCCATCACAATATGTGTATTTAGCAGTCAAATATTTTTCTTGACAGTCAACTCCTTAACATGGTTTTGATAATGCAGTTTTTACTTTATTACCAGATTTATCTAAATCTATTAGTGAATTAGCTAAATAAGTAGCAATGTAATGAAAACACTAGTCTGCTTTCTTGAAATTTGGAGGAAAGTTGCATGGCCAACTGACTGGAAGAGATCCATATACCTGCCTGGTCCAAAGAAAGGTGATCCAGCAGAATGTGGAAATTACCTACCAGTATCATTAATACCATATGCAAGTAAAATTACACTGAAGATAATTGAAAAATGGTTGCAGCAGTACATCAACAGGGAGCTGCCAGAAATTCAAGCCAGATTCAGAAAAGGATGTGGAACAAAGAATATCACTACTTATGTCAGGTGGATCTTGGCTGAAAGCAGAGAATGTGTTTTATTGACTATGCAAAGGCATTCAACTGTGTGGAATGTAACATTATGGATAACATTTCCAAGAATGAGAATTCTAGAACACTTAATTGCAGTCATGTGGAATGTTAGCATAGACCAAGAGGCAGCCATTCAAAGAGAACAAGGGGATACTGTGTGGTTTTAAATCAGGATAGTTGTGTGTTGGGATTGTATCATTTCACCATACTTATTCAGTGTGTATGCTGAACAAAAAGAAACTGGACTGTATGAAGAAGAACATGACATCAGAATTGGATGAAGATTCATTAACAACCTGAGATATACAAATGACACAACCTTGCTTGCTGAAAGTGAAGAGAACTTGAAGCACTTACTGGTGAAGATCAAAGACTACAGCCTTCATTATGGATTACACTTCTCTATAAAGAAAACCAAAATCCTTAAAACTAGACTAATAAACAACATTATGATAAACAGAAAATATCGAAGTTGTCAAGAATTTCATTTTACTTGTATCCACAGCCAACACCCATGGAAGCAGGAATCAAGAAATCAAATGATGTATTTTATTGGACAAAACTACCACAAAAGACCTCTTTTAAAGTATTAAAATGCAAAGATATCACTTTGAGGACTATGGTGCACCTGACCCAAGCCATGGTTTTCAATCACCTCATATGCTTGTGAAAGCTGGACATTGAATAAGTAAGACTGGAGAAGAATTGATGCTTTTGAAATATGGTGTTGCAAAGAATACTGGATGTATCATGAACTGCCAGAAGAACAAGCAAATTGTTTGTTGGATTGTACTGTACTAGATGAAGTACAGCAAGAATACTCCTTAGAAACAAAGAAGGTGTCTTTGTGTTAAATACTTTGGACACGTCATCAGGAAGATAACAGTTCCTGAAGAAGGACATCATGTTTAGTAAAGTATAGAGGGTCAGCAGAAAAGATGGATTGATACAGTGGCTGCAAGATACAGTGGCTGCAAGAATATAGCAACAATTGTGAGGATGGTGCAGGACTGGGCAGTGTTTTTTTCTGTTGCTTATAGAGTTCGTATAAATCAGAACTGACTTGACAGCACGTAAGAATAGCAGTAACATTGGTGAACTGGTTAAATAAATTTCAATTTATTGAGAACACTAGTATTGAGAACACTAGTCTCCCTTGGGAGCTCTGGTAGCATAGTGGCTAAGGCACTTGACTGCTAACCAGAAGGCAGGCGGTTCAAACCCACCAGCCACTCCTCGGAAGGAAGGTTGGGCAATCCTACTTCCGTAGTGATACTGCCTCGGAAACCCAAGGAGGGGTTGCTATGAGTCGGGGCCGACTCGACGGCAAACAACAACAACAACAACAGTCTCCCTTATCAAAATTTATAATAAAATGTTATATAAATACATATATATATATATATATATATATAATGTTATATATATATACACATACATATATATGTGTATACACACACATACATAAGTATATATATATGTATGTATATATAGAAGCTCTGGTGGTGTAGCATCTAAGACATTTGACTGCTAACCAGAAGGCTGGAGGTTCAAACCCACTAGCCACTCCTCAGAAGGAAGATTGGGCAA